AGTTACTTTTTTGTTGCAAGTCATTCAACTGGATTTCACGGTCCTAAAATATTTTACAATTTTCTTAAATATGAGGCTTCCCGATAGTGAGAAATAAAATTCATAAACTTCTTAAATGTGCTATTCAACTGACTTAAAAAATTAAACTGAATTTTACCAGACTAGAAAGGCTTACTGGAGGCTTCTTCATTTCTCCATTCCCTGATAGTCCCCTCTAGAGAAGGCCTTCAAAGGTAGTTTGTAATCGCTCAGGACCTTGAATTGTCTTCATGATGTAATAGATCATTAACACTGGATATTAAAAATAAAGTTCTTTCAATTATTTTATTACTTATTTTTTTAAAGTTTATTGTCAAGTTGGTTTCCATATAACACCCAGTGCTCATCCCCACAAGTGCCCTCCTCCATGCCCATCATCCCCCTTCAATTATTTTAAAGTTTTACAGCTGTTCTTAAACTTTACTAGTCTCAGATTTTCAATTGTTAGATGCATCTAGAAATACATGCATCCTTATTAGTTTTTCCCTAATTGCTCTCTTGTTTTTCAATAGCTAATTGTTTTTTCTGTAATATCAGTTTTACTTTCATATTATAAATGAGGTTAAACTATTAATGAATTCAAATTCTTAGTCCGTTTCTAAAAAGTCTATTTCCACAATGCAATTTTGACATAAATCTCAGATTTTCTAATTTAAGTTTGTAAGAAATCAGCAAACATAAGCCTCTTTCAACAGATGTGAAAGTGGCCACTGAAAGGAAATTAAGTCAATGTCATTTTCTCCCTCCTTATGCCCCAACTGCTCTTCTCCCTGGAACATACTACCATTCCTCTCTTGTCCTTTCAACAGCTATTTCTGATAGAACCTGTCCAAGGTGAAAGATCAAAACAAAACCTCACGCAGAAATGGGAAACTATCTAATTATACTTCTACAAAAAGTAAAGCTTAGAGGAAAATAATCAACTGAAGACCTGCATTACTAGGCTAACATACAAACATTGTACCACAGAAAGCTGCTTCCACTGTCACCCTTAGCCTCAAGGCGGTGGCCAGAGGCCCACAGTTTTTACACAGTGGTAGACAGGAAGTTTAACAGCAGCAAAAATCAAACAACCCATTCCTCACACACACCTCCCTGCATCCCTCACTGTTCTCACCTACCATTATCTCCAGAGAAATGTTCCTACTATAGCTTTCATGGGGACTCTGGCCTATCTAGACCCCGGTACTGTGCCCAGGGCAGCTACAATACTGCTCCCAAGCTTCGCCTCCTTCTGAGGGACCGGAGTTCATCTGTCACTGTGAATCACAACCTTCCATGTGTAGAGTTTCATAATGTCCAAAGGCTTTAGCAAACCTCATCTTATTTTCTACCACTTGTCTGACAGGCAAATCAGGACTTATTGTTCACTTGCTACAGATGAGGAGATGAAAGTTTGAGGTTAAGTGGCTTACCTAACAGCTGACCTTTTGTTGACTGCTCACCATATGCCAGGCTCAGTACTGGGCTAAGGCAGCATTTGTTAGCACTATCTCATTTAAGCTCACAACTAACTGATGGGAGATACTGTTATTTCCATTTAACAATTGAGGAAAACTGAATCTTGGAAAGGCTGTTTAACTTGCCTAAAGTCAAATCTTTTAAGTAGTAGACACAAAACTCACCCAATATGTTCAGAACATGTCCTGAGAGACTAAGGTACTCTTGTGGCCTTTGGTGTATCAGGGAATCTCTTGAAGCAAAGATTTGACTTCTGCCACCCTGAAATAGGGAGGTGTGGGTCTCAAAAANAAAAAAAAAAGAGAAAATTCCATGAAAAATGTACATAAGAAAGCTTTAGGAGAAATATTTGCTTCTGAAGAGAGGGAGATTTTATTTTTCATTTTATGCCTGGCTTGACTGCACGTTTCAGTTTTATTTTAAATAAATAAAAAAATTTGATTTGCTCTCCAGTTTTTTACGTTTACAGTGCAGAGGCAGAAAGAGATGTATAATTAAGCGGAATATTACATGATCAGCCACAAAACCAGCCTCACCCACAAAGACCCCATTTATAACAAAAATCTCATATCTGTTTCAGTCTCCACTTCCCTCTACAGAGCCCTCTGCTCTCTCTCCGGAGACTTGACCCATCCCACCATCCCGGCTCTGGCAGTCAGCCTTTTTTTTCTCTTCAAATGGCTATGAATCTTTCTGCACTAACAGCGAGGTTGAAAATACATGAGCCTGTTTGATATTAATAGCCAAGCCAGGCCAGACCTGGCTGGTACTATGATAATATTCCATGGCTATATTTCTTCAACAGACCCCATATCACTGGACCCAGCAACAGACCATTATTCCTCTCAACTGTTGTAGCCGGGGGGGTAATGGACAAGATTTAGATTTATTCCATGTCAGCCTAGCAGATACGTGCTGTGTGGATCTCAGCAGAGATAACTTTCTCCATCTGGTAGAAGGATGGTATTCCTGTTTTCCTTCAGGGGGAGAGATGTTAACACACGTGCACAAGGAAAACCAAGGCAGAGAGAGTTGGTAGATACAGGGGATAACTACTCCCCCTGAATTAGAATGATGTTTGGGCTAATTCACTTGCTCTGCTAGAGCGAGCAAGTGGCCAGTAGTTCATGGCGCCTGGGTGGAGAGTGGGCAGTTCTGATCTGATGTTATCTTAAGATTTAAATTAGAGGAATGTAGCTTCTCAACCATTAGAGCCTTTGGCTGCTGTGTTCCGTGGAGCTCCTAGGAATTCGTGTGGGCCCTGCAGGAGTTAGGGTCAGCAAGCTCAGTAGCTGGTGCCTATGTATGTTAGAGAAGCTGGTATTTAGCTGCTCAGTGTTTTGTTTGTTTTTTAAGAGTGAGAGAGAGAGAGAGAGAGCTAGCAAGCAAGCCAGGGAGGGGCAGAAAGGGAGAGTGGGAGGGAGAGGGAGAGAGAGAGAGAGCGCGCGCAAGCCAGGGAGGGGCAGAGAGAAAGAGAGAGAGTGAAGAAAAGAGACAGAGCAGGCTTCGCACTGTCAACACAGAACCCAATGTAGGGCTTGATCCCGAGACCATGACCTGAGCCAAAATCAAGAATCAGATACTGGGGCACCTGGGTGGCTCAGTCGTTAAGAGTCTGACTCTCGGTTTCTGCTCAGGTCATGATCTCAAGGTTCGTGAATTTAAGCCCCATGTCAGGCTCTGTGCTGACAGTGTGGAGCCTACTTGGGATTCTCCTCCCCCCCCGCCCCTCCCGTTTGCTCTCTCTCTCTCTCTCTAAACAAACAAACAAACAAACAAACAAACTTTAAAGTCAGATGTTTGACTGAGCCACCCAGGTACCCCCAGCTGCCCAGTTTTTAAACACCGTGGTACTGTTATCTAGTGTATTAGAGAGGTTTCCTGATTTGGGGGAAACCACACTTGTCCAATTTCTTAAATCTCTAAGTCCCTCCCAACATTTTATGATTTTCCAAGTATTTTCATGTACTTGATTTCGTCAAATCTCATCCCTGCCCTGGGGGATAAGACAGGCAAGCAGTTCTCATTTGTCAGATGAAGTGTGTGAGGCTTCGAGTCAGCAACTGGGGCAAGATCACCAGCAGTGAAGTGTGGGGACATGAAGCTGACATTCCCACTGGAGGAGTCATGTGCCTTCCTCTTAGTTCTCATCTCTGAACCCTGGAGAATGACAGGAGACATTCTCCCACAAGTACACCTAAGCAGAGGCTGTGGCCCTTGACCATGATGAATGAAAGCTGACCTTGGACAAGAAGATATTCAGTCTCCATTCACCTGTTGATTCCTCCTACTTTGCAGCATTTGTGAATTTCTTAAACTCAAAAGAATCCCCCAAGTGAACAACCCATGTCTCCATCAGTTGCATAGACTGGTCCATAGTGGCTTTGGAGGCCATATAACAAAGTATGTGGACACTGTAGGAGCTGATTTGAAGACATCTCCAGGAATAGTTAAATGAATAAAACAAGACTCAGAGCAAAGTGAGGAATGCTTCTCTGTGGAAAAAAAGCGGGATGGGGTGATGAAATGCTGATTTGAGTGTGCTTCTGTTTGCATAAAGAACACTGGAAAATTACATCAGGAAATAATGAAAGTGGTTGGGGGTTGAGAACAGGGTGGACAGGGACATGAGTGATTTTTTCCCCCAGTTTGTACCTTTTAACATCATTTTTAGTTTAAAAAAAACTTTAAGATTTGCAATAATTATAGATTCACAAAATGTTACAAAACCAGTACAGAGAACTTGAGTACCCCTAACCCAGTTTTCCACAATGGCCACATCTTGCATAAGCATTAGTGTGACACTGCATCTGGGCACTGACAGTCTCTGGAGCTCATTTAGACCTCACCAGTTTTACATGCACTCACATGGTTTTGTCACGTGTACATACATGTGGCCACCACTGCTGTCAACTACAGAACTCTTCCATCATCAGGCATCCCTAGGGCCTCCCCCCTTATGGTCACAACACAGCCCCTCTCCACTTGCTCCCTTCCCCCGACAGCCATGGGTCTATGCTCTGTCTCCATAATTTTGTCATTTTGAGACTGTTACATAAATGGAATCATACAGTGTGTAACCTTAGAGACTGGCTTTCTTCTCCTTATCATAATTCCATTGAGATGCATCCAAGTTGTTGCGTGTATCAGTGTAGTTGATGCTGAACAGTTCTCTTAACTGCTGAGTAGTTTTCCATGGTATGGATGTACCTGATTAACTGCTCACCCACTGAGGGACATTTGGGTTTCGGATACTAGGCTATTACAAATAAAGCTACCGTGAACTTTCGTGTGCACAGTACTTTTAAGTTTTTGTTTCTTTCGGATGAATGCTCCCAGAGTACAGCTGCAGGGTCACCTGGTAAGTATATGTTTAGTTTTTTAAGAAACTGACAAAATTTTTTTCCCGACTGGCATTTTGTTTTTCAAACATATGACTATTAAAAACAAAAACCATGGATGTTAATGTTAAATCCGACCGTGTCCTTAAATTCAGGGCATCGGTGGTACTTCTCTAGTCTGACCTTCCGTTTTCCTGGGTGTGAGTGATGTCAGTGTTAAATCCCGAATCTCTCTCCTCCTAGGTGTGGTACAGATAGTGGAGGTGATACTGAATGGGATGGTTCTCATGTGTATCGTGGCCTCCTACTTTGTCCTTGCTGGATTCAGTGCCAGCTTCACCACTGGTGGCGGCTTTGGGAACAACTATTACTCACCCTTTGAGGGCACTGAGCTGGAGCAGGTTCGGCAGCTGGACCAGCAGTACACAGTCCTCCGGGCACCCCTGATATATGGTGGCGTGGCTGTTTCTCTGGGGCTGGGTGTCCTTACTATGGGTGTTTTACTCCAAGGAGCCAAAAGTCTAACCAAATTGTTGCCGACGTGGCTCCTGCTGGAGGTCGCCTTCAGCCTCCTGGCGGCAGTGAGCTACTGCGTAGGCATCGGCATTTACCTCCACGTAGCCTTGCGGATCAATTCCACAGACACTTGCACAGCAAGAGCACGGCTCTATGCCCGCAAGGGCCTCACCTGGATGAACTGCCAGCTGGCAGGCACTGATGGGGCAGCAGCCACCTTTGCTTGTCTTCTGGTGATCATGTACGGCGCCAGCGTGGTGCTGGCCCTGCGGAGCTACTGGGAACAGAAGCACTACAAAGACAGCCAAGCACAGGACAGAAATTACAACGACGCGCCAGAATACCTGTGGTCAGGAACGCTCTGAGACCTCTTTTGGAACCTCACTGGCACCCCACCTCCCTTGTTTCCCTCAAAACGATGTGTCCTTTAAAGTGGCACATGACACAACTATGGTCTTCACATACTTGATTTTACAAATGTTCCCTTTGGTACCAGTGCAAAGCTAGATGATCATTGCATTTTTTTTTTTTTTTTTTTAAATCAGTAAGTCTTTGTTGGCTGAGAGCAAAGATGTCTCCATCTTTGCAACAAAGAGCAACATGAGAAGTCTGGGGATGCCCTTATGGTGGGGCTCTCTTACCACATGGTGATGTAATCATAATAGCTAGATAGCCAGAAAAATTATGAAAGAGATGAGAATCATACATCCAGAGTAGCAGGTCCAGTGTTACAGTAGAAATATCTTCCCATCATAACTGCTTAAGGTCACCAAAAGAAACATGCCACTGCCCCCTGTATTTAGTCCAAGGGAAACGATTTTAAAGCAGTTGGATGATTGAGTTCTAAATGAGTAATTACCATCTGACTCTCCTAGAAGGAAACCACTCTATCGGTACAGCAGTGTGCCCAGACGGCCTGGGTCCCAGGGAGCCTTTCTCCCTTAGAGATGGGAGGCAGGATCCCTGACTCATGAAAGGAGATGCTTTGAGCATGCGCATTCCTCCTCAGGATTCCCGCATTAGGGCTGAGAGAAAACGGTTTTCCTGCCAGCATTCCAAGTTACTTTTTTGTTGCAAGTCATTCAACTGGATTTCACGGTCCTAAAATATTTTACAATTTTCTTAAATATGAGGCTTCCCGATAGTGAGAAATAAAATTCATAAACTTCTTAAATGTGCTATTCAACTGACTTAAAAAATTAAACTGAATTTTACCAGACTAGAAAGGCTTACTGGAGGCTTCTTCATTTCTCCATTCCCTGATAGTCCCCTCTAGAGAAGGCCTTCAAAGGTAGTTTGTAATCGCTCAGGACCTTGAATTGTCTTCATGATGTAATAGATCATTAACACTGGATATTAAAAATAAAGTTCTTTCAATTATTTTATTACTTATTTTTTTAAAGTTTATTGTCAAGTTGGTTTCCATATAACACCCAGTGCTCATCCCCACAAGTGCCCTCCTCCATGCCCATCATCCCCCTTCAATTATTTTAAAGTTTTACAGCTGTTCTTAAACTTTACTAGTCTCAGATTTTCAATTGTTAGATGCATCTAGAAATACATGCATCCTTATTAGTTTTTCCCTAATTGCTCTCTTGTTTTTCAATAGCTAATTGTTTTTTCTGTAATATCAGTTTTACTTTCATATTATAAATGAGGTTAAACTATTAATGAATTCAAATTCTTAGTCCGTTTCTAAAAAGTCTATTTCCACAATGCAATTTTGACATAAATCTCAGATTTTCTAATTTAAGTTTGTAAGAAATCAGCAAACATAAGCTTCTTTCAACAGATGTGAAAGTGGCCACTGAAAGGAAATTAAGTCAATGTCATTTTCTCCCTCCTTATGCCCCAACTGCTCTTCTCCCTGGAACATACTACCATTCCTCTCTTGTCCTTTCAACAGCTATTTCTGATAGAACCTGTCCAAGGTGAAAGATCAAAACAAAACCTCACGCAGAAATGGGAAACTATCTAATTATACTTCTACAAAAAGTAAAGCTTAGAGGAAAATAATCAACTGAAGACCTGCATTACTAGGCTAACATACAAACATTGTACCACAGAAAGCTGCTTCCACTGTCACCCTTAGCCTCAAGGCGGTGGCCAGAGGCCCACAGTTTTTACACAGTGGTAGACAGGAAGTTTAACAGCAGCAAAAATCAAACAACCCATTCCTCACACACACCTCCCTGCATCCCTCACTGTTCTCACCTACCATTATCTCCAGAGAAATGTTCCTACTATAGCTTTCATGGGGACTCTGGCCTATCTAGACCCCGGTACTGTGCCCAGGGCAGCTACAATACTGCTCCCAAGCTTCGCCTCCTTCTGAGGGACCGGAGTTCATCTGTCACTGTGAATCACAACCTTCCATGTGTAGAGTTTCATAATGTCCAAAGGCTTTAGCAAACCTCATCTTATTTTCTACCACTTGTCTGACAGGCAAATCAGGACTTATTGTTCACTTGCTACAGATGAGGAGATGAAAGTTTGAGGTTAAGTGGCTTACCTAACAGCTGACCTTTTGTTGACTGCTCACCATATGCCAGGCTCAGTACTGGGCTAAGGCAGCATTTGTTAGCACTATCTCATTTAAGCTCACAACTAACTGATGGGAGATACTGTTATTTCCATTTAACAATTGAGGAAAACTGAATCTTGGAAAGGCTGTTTAACTTGCCTAAAGTCAAATCTTTTAAGTAGTAGACACAAAACTCACCCAATATGTTCAGAACATGTCCTGAGAGACTAAGGTACTCTTGTGGCCTTTGGTGTATCAGGGAATCTCTTGAAGCAAAGATTTGACTTCTGCCACCCTGAAATAGGGAGGTGTGGGTCTCAAAAAACTAAGGCATTAAAGTATATACAGATGGTGCCCTTGAGCCCAGCACATTGATGGTGTTCAATAAACAGCTGATGAGCCCAGGTTTTAAAGTATTCATTCTGCTAGGTAAGGAGGAAACCTGCAAAATGATTTCAACTTGGCTGTTATTTGGAAAGGAACCTAATCTTGCTTGGAAGTCCAGATTCTGGGAAACAACCAATGGGGGAAGGTGGGAGGACAATTTAGAGGCTTATCTGGATTTTAAGTATTTTGTGAGTCAAAACCACCATGTCTGAAGTTCTGACACCAAAACCATCACATGAGGACAAACATGACAGACCGTTGAATTATCTAACTGGCTCTTCTGTGTCATCATCAGCTGTACAATTTAGGAACTATAAATGACTTAAAATTGTCTCTAGTCAGCTAACAATCTGCATGCGAATCAGGACTGTTTCCTGTCTTTGGGATTTCTTTAAACATATAAACCAAGTCAGAATATGTTTCTTAATGTAAAAAAAAAAAAAAAACTTTACTGCTATTTCAGCTTAAGAGGTGATCAAAAATATTTATTCTTGCCTTAACTCATAGCTTCATAGAGTGTCATGGAATGTGGTTTCATTCATTATCTTTCTCTAAAGCAAAAAAAAAAAAATCCTAAAGGTGCTTCTGCTTAAGAAACTAATTCTACATAACAAGTTACAGAAAATTACAGTTTCATGCTAAAATAAAGTATGTAGAAAACAACAGGTATTCCATTTTAAAACCAAGCCATGAAAAAGATATTCCATTTTATTTTATTTATTATTATTGTTATTGTTATTTTTTACAAACAATAGATTTGCTGCAACATGCTCTGGCTCATATTATTGAATTAAAAAATTTAACACATTTCAAAAATATCAAAAATACACTATCATGAGTCTTAGGACTACAATACGACAATGATTGCACAAAACCATAAGATATGAACTGTCTGGATGACACCCACTGGCAACAGTGAGAGAAAACCCTATAGCATCTGGGAGAAGTGCACGGAATTTAGAATACAAGGAGCTTATGTGTGATTGATCACCAAATGAAGGAAACAGCAGGATTTACTGTAGCTACTTTTCTCAATCTAGGAAGTGCTTACCCAACTATGGGGCAAAAGTCACTCACTGGAGAGAAAGATTAACTTGCCTCTGTGATTGGGGGAGTCTGAAAAGACCCCACCCAGAGGGAAGTAAGAAGTGACGCAACACAGTTCTATAGTGATGCTGCAGACATCACTGAATGGCTTGGAGACTAATTATTTAATAATTGGTACATTTATCAATAACAGCCAAATGCTCCCTTACGGAGGTCTCTTCATTAATAATTATTGAGTAGACAGAGAAGATGAGCCTGTGGCCTCCAAGTACCTGCTTTTGCTGAAGGTCTACAGGGAAAGAAGAGCATCGTTTGATATTCAGTAGATAGACCAAACCTAACTGACTCCAACTCCCGGAAAATAGCACTCGCTACAAACAATTATAATAGCACCCAGTGATTACCAAGCTGCTCGTGTTGGCTCTTCCTAAGAAAATGAATTCATCAACTTATTGCACACATACACTCTACAGTAGTATTATAATAAAGCCCTCACTTGTATCAGGAGTGCCAATTCAATGACTCTGTGGTAGACTCTTTATGACATAGTAGCATTCAAATTTTTAAATATATTTCCAATCCATTTGGATAAAAAATAAGAATACCACGGCTGCCAAGACTCATGTTTTTCTTTCTTTCATGACACTCCTGAACTACTCCCAGAAGCAGGAGTGATACTCTTTCACAACTTCTCTTAAAGTTCTCTATTAAATGGGAGGTACACACAGAGACCTGAGAATCATGCAGAGGCCAGAATCTCTGGGCTAGAGATCAACCGTACTCTGCCCACTTGGGGAACACATCCTCTGGGTAAAGTCCTGGGAAGTAGATTACATTCACCTGGAGACAGGTTACTGGATTTCACCACCTGACAACCTAATCAACTCACACGGCTGTAAATGACCTCATATAGGTCAAGAGTTCTGTATATTTTTGGTAACGGACTATGGCCTTTTTACCCTCTATTTTAATAAAGAGCAATTATAGAGGAAAATGAATGAAAGGCAGTTACAGGAAAGAGTAGTTAGTTTGGTACAGTCTATGTTCAAGGTTTTCAATGCAACCTAATGTTTCCTGAAAATTAATCAACCACATAAGAGAACATTTGGAATTTTAGACTTCTTCTAATGAAAAAGCAAATATATTTACTTTTGGTGAAGTCATTTCAAAACGGAGTTTCGTGGTGTTCCCAGTAAGTAGGGTGGGAAACAAAGACAAGGAAAGGGTCACAGAGATAAAGGACTCCTTTTAAGAAACTATACTAAGAAAGTGGTATATTCCCAAAGTAACTTTCTTTTTTAGACAGCATCACTATTCTGTAACTCAAAAGTTCTGCTGTCTGGTTAAAAAGATGTTTTACATCACCCATCACTATTATCTTGGGCTTTTTCTTCATTTTCATTTCTCCTTCATTCCCCCCCCATCTTCCCATATAAAAATAGGGCAGCAATATACTCTTTGTTCCCCTTTTTCTAACGGCACCTAACCTTTGTATGAACCATTATATTCCCCACTTCAAATCAGGACCTGAGTTCTAAAACTTTTTAGTAGCTGACCAGTAGTCTGATACATAGAAGTCTTCCTGACAATATGGGGGCTCAAACTCAGATTTTTAAGGGGCTGAACTTTAGATGGCTACTGGAGTGGTATGGAGTCCCCCAAGAGCACACACGGCTATGGGGCCTCAGAGAAGATGAGGATACATAACCATCTGTGGACAGATCATCTGGTTTTCTACTATCGCTTTAACAAAAACTTCCAAAACCCCCCAAAAGTTATAGATAGCTACATCTATATATATCTCAAATCTATCTTAAACATTTTGTTTCTCATAAAACAAATTAATGGTCCCACACTATTTCTTTTTAATTGTGAAAGTATTCTAAAAAATTCAAAGCACATTCCCCATTGGGTAAAATAAAGCAATGTCAAACTTTGTAGGAATAAGTAGGAATTAGTTTTCCTAAGCAAATCTTCTAGTGGAAAAGGCAACAAACAGAAATATGAAAGGAACTACATTTTGCTAGGGTTATGTGGAATGTGCAAAAAATACAGTAAACCAGGTTTTCTGTAAGCTTAGGATTTTGTCAATTAAGTCTTTTTTATATTAGTAATTGAGCCCAGTACTCTGAAACCATGTGAGGTGGATAAGCAGTGTTCAGAAGAGTACTCTGTTAAACATTAAAGAGGTGAACTCAACTCATTTCCGACACTTTATAAAACCGTCCCTCTGCTCTAGATTAAGAGAAGGATGTGTCTGACCCATGAGCTTCATCCATCCATCTGTTCGCATTCAGCCTCAGTCTGTGCAGTCCCCTGCTACACGCAAGGTTAGTTGGATGTGAGCAATGTCAGCCTTGGCCCTACACGAGGAGGCTGGTGGCCAAATC